CGCACCCGCTGATGGCATGGAGCAATTGGGCTGGTGCCAGCAGCAGGTGCGAGCAGGGCCAGTGCCATCAGCGAGTGTGCTCGGCAGCTGATACCCTGATAACCCCTCAGGAGCAGGGGGAGGTAGAGAAGCCCTCAGGGGCAATCGAGGCCAGCAGCCACCGCTTGAACCCACTGACAGCACTGAGCAATTGAGGCCAGCGCCGGGCGCCAGCACTGGGTGCAAGCAGTGTCTCTGGCACTGGCAGCAGGTGTGAGCAGCAGCTCCGGTGCCAGCAGCAGGTGCGAGTGGGACTGTCGCCAGCAGCGGGTGCAAGAGGCGGCTGCCGGCCCTGATCGCCCCTCAGGAGCAGGGGGAGGTAGAGAAGACCTGAGGGGTGATTGAGGCTGGCAGCCGCCGCTCGCATCGCTGGCAGCACCAAGCGATTGGGGCCAGCACCAGGCACTGGCAGCGTGTGTGAGCAGGGCCAACACCCACAGCAGGTGCAAGCACCAGGTGGGACTGTGGCGCAGGAGCAAAGAATTTTCAGTAACCACCAGAGGCTCTCCCTGATGACAGCAACCAGTGCCCTGCCTTGATCTGGCGCCCCAACTCACCTGCTCCACCATCCCACTGCAGCCAATGCCCACCATGTTTCACACTCTGCCGCCTGCTGCTGACCCCCGCCATGTTCCACGCGCACCCCCTGGTGGTCAGTGCACATCATAGCGACTGGTTGTTCAGTTGTTCAGTTATTCCACCATTCGGTCTATTTATGTATTAGGGTTTTATATGTATAGATTATTGAATACATCAACAAATGGGAGAGAAGATAAAAATTCCATGCAGAAGATTTACAAATAATTTATGTAGCTATTCCCCCCTTGAGAAGGGGGGAGTACAACTGTGTGAACTGTGCAGAGTGATTTCCTTCCTAAGTGTCAGTATGGACAGGGGAAAATTGAATAAATTAATTGTGGCAAACACTATCTTGGCAAACACTATCTCAGCATCCAAGAAAAGGTACTGTTTCCGGTGACCAGCTTCTGTATCTTTAGGTACCTAGAAAGAGCTGCATATAATTTTGCTTACTTGTTGCTTTTGGTTTTCAATTACTTTGTAAGAAAGTTAAAAAGGAAAATTCATCCTGACATGTTAATCATTTTCTAACTTATTTTAAAATTATTTCATAGATTTGCTGTCTTATTTAATTAACGCTCTTTTGTTGTTCTTTATTTGCTTGGCACTGAACAGACTGTAAGACCCTGGTGGCTGCCCCTTTCTCTTCTGGCTGAGCCCTAAGATTTCAGACAGTATTTGAAATAAATCCTCTAACTCGAATGTCTCTTAGCAGGCAGCAGAGTCACCTGGCATGTCAGTACTGTAATTTCTTTCACTGCATGGCACTAACCCACTATTAGCTCACTTTTCACATAATCAGTAATACTCTGTATGGTTTGTTGTGTACTGTACCTATAGATTAGCTGTCAGGCTTCTCAAGGAGAAGTTCTCATCAGTTTGGGCACAAACTGATGTAGCAAATATAAATCTCAGTCCAAACATTCAAGTATGCAAGAAAAATTGCCTTCCTTATTTCTCTTAAATCAGCTTAATGCTGACATTGAGGCCACATGTTTCTGGGTTTATATAAAATTCCATCTCAATCATTACTGTGATGCTCTCCCCCACCCAGAATAATAGGAGAATATGGATGGCTGTAGAGTTTACTCAGAAAATAATAATTATATGCACCACCACCACCATAACTCAAATGTATATAACAACTACTTTGTGCCAGGAATTGTTGTATGTGTTTTCTATATTCTAATATGAGGGAGTCTAACTTAGGTCTATTGTGCTCTGCTATGGGATGGATTGTGTCCCCTACCTCCAAATTCATATGTTGGAAGTAGTTTATTGGTTATCTAAAAGAAAAAAATCATCATTTGTATCAGTCACTACATATTTATGATTTTCCTAAAAGAATAGACTTATTCTTTAGTCTGTTTTCTGAACCTTCCTGTAAGCTAAGAGAAATGTGAAAACCTTCAACAGGATGTGATATACAAGATAATGTCTTTCTTATAATGATTTAGCTCTGAGTAGCTCTTAGTTGAAAGTTTAATCACAGGTGATGTGTAGTTAGTTCATTGTATGTTCTGCTCAGCAAATTTTAAAAGATACTTTAAGGTATTGCAGATTGACAAATGAGATGTTATTTCTTTGAAAGAGAACGCTGTATCAGACTGCTGTTAATGTCAGATCAGTGATGGACTATTTTAATTACACATATAAAGAGATACCTGATAATGAAGAATAGTTGAGAGAAGATGGGATTGAACCATTTACAGGTATATACAGAGCTATCTGGATGGTTCAGACATGTTTTTAAAGATGATTCCCTTCTTTCTGTGATTTTTGGGAACAAAAAGGTTGCAAGGTTATGAATTAACTTTCCAATCTGTCAGTTCTGTATTACAAAGAGATTTGGAAGGCTCAAAGCAATATTTCATTCTCAGTTGACAATCCACATAAAGGGCACATTCCCATGCTTCTGTTTCTTATATAGTTAGTACAGCAGTAGAATGTGGCACACTGTTTTTATGGTACATTTTCAAGTTTTCTCTTGATGAAAGAAAAAGAAGTTGGAATTTGGAAGTTAGAACTCTAAAAGTTTCCAGATATTCCTATAAAGGAACTCATAAACTGTTAGGATGTAAATGATAATCTCTCACACTCACAGTAAAATTACTGTTTCCATAGATAAGTTTAAAGTGAGCAGCATTTTCTATTTTTAACACCTATAGGCTCTATTCCATCCGTAATACCCTGACAATTTTGTCCCTACATATTTGTTACATTCATTGATTCATTGAACAAATGTCTGTTGAGCACCTGTGATATTCCAGATACTGTGATAGATCTTGAGGATTAGTAGTGAATGTGATAGATACAGGCTCAGCCCTAAGGGAGTTATTATGTCCTTGTAGGAGAGACTGGCATTAAATAAATAGTCAAAAGAATAAGTACAAAATGACAACAAAGGCAAGTGGCATGACAGTGAGTGACAAGAGGTTAGCAGAGCTTATAACAGGATAATTTGACCTAGGATCTTAGTAAGGAGTCCCAGAAAGAAATTTCATTTTATAAGAAGACTGTTCTTTTATCATCAGAACTTTTCCTTATATATAAAACTGGTTCACATACATTGATTATAATATAAAAGTTTAAATTTAGGTGTCAAAATTTAAACATAAGATTGCTTTAAGAATCATTTTCTTGAAGTGTACATACAGAAAAAAATGTACATATAATCAACTATTTCAATGAACTTTCAAAAAGTGAACAGACCCATTAACCAGCATTCAGGTCAAGAAATAAAACATTACCAGTTCCCCAGAAGTCCCCCTCATGCCACCTCTAGCTATGTGTTTTCGAAACAGTGGGTGCTTGTGCCTGGGAAACTCAGCCTACAGATGTCTGATCACCCTTGGTGTGCCTGGGCAATGCAGGCCTTGTTTGCCTGGTTACTCCTAATAACACCTAGGATGATAATAAATTGGTCCCATAAGAGTCAGGTGTGATGGGCATCTATCCAGGGTAGCCTAAGGCACCAAGTCCATGTAGTTGATGTGGCAGCCCTCACACCAACCGATGGCCTTTTCTCCTGACCAAACAAGCAAAGACTGTTTCCTTGAAAAACTGTGGGCTGTCAGACTGGTTTCATCTATCTTTCTAGGCTGTCGGTATTCATTAAACTCTACCTGGAGTGGGGAATATTTGTAATCCTTAACTCCTCTATTTGTCTGAGGAGCCTCCTCTCTTTACTTCATAGTGACTTGCTTGGGAAGTTAGAGGCAACATCATAGTGTGCACAGTTTTTATCCACTCCCTATAATTTTGTTCTCTGGCTGAAAGCCTACTCATTAGAAGGAAAGCAATGAGCTCCTGGCTCTACCAAAGCAAATGGAAAATTAGTCCTTAAGCAGTCTAATACACCTGGACAGGTATGTCAGGGGAAAATTCTTAGAATATGATACCTTAAGCTGAGATACTGAAAGGTGAGCAAAAGTTAAGGAGACAAAAAGGGAGAGCCTTGTAGGCCATATTATGATTTCCCCCCTTTATATTAAGTGGAATTGAAGCCTCTTGCTTAATTTAGAAGAACATTTGTGTAAAATTATCAAATTTATATAGAAACAGATCAATCTGACTAAAGTATGGAGAACAGAATATTAGTGCTTGAGTGGAGAAGCACCAATAACAGCTAACAAATATTAAGCACTTACTGAGTGATTTACATATATTAACTAATTTAACAACCTATGGATAGAGTCTGTTCTTATCTTTATTCAACAGATAAGTTCACACCAGTAATAAGTAGCAAAGCCAGGATTTGAACCCATGTATATGGTTTTCAGAATCCATGAATCTAAAAGTACTGAGCAAGACTGGCTTACACTCCTTCACACTTAACATGAGGGAAGCTAAAGAACTTTCCCCCTTTGATAGATTTCTGGGGTGGTGGAGATTTGGGGAAGAAGGGATAGGTGACCACACTAGTATGTCCAAGAGAGGAGGACATTTGTATGATGACTATAATTTGTTTCTTCCCCATGTTGCCTCTACCTAATCCAGTGTTTGTAAGACCAGGGCTATAAATACAAGTGCTGGAAAAAGGAGTGGCTTTTAAACAAGAAACTGTAACTATATTTTTATATATTTAACTCAGAATTCCTAAGGTCCTTATAGAACAAGTTTTAACTTCACTTTGGCCAAGTTGAAGTTTGATAATGGTCAAGCCCATTAGTTCTGTAGCTATGTAACCCTCCCCTATATGAATAGAACTGGACTGAGGGAAAGTAATAACTAGATTAGTATTGCTATCTGCAATATAGACCAACACAGTGGCTGAACCTAATGTTCCTTTCAGAAGTGGAAAAATTTAGGTATAAATGGAGAAAAGGAAGTATAGTAGCTGAGGGTAAAAAGTAAATAAATAAATAAATGGGTTATGTAATTGCCGGAAGCTAATTCCAGTATGTCATAAATGCAAGAAGCTTCATCAAAAGGTTGATGGAACCTTGAGGATTGCCTGCTGGAAATGGCTAAGGGCATTTCCCCACACCTAAAGATTTGCATAGATGATTGCTTGCTGCCAGACAGCTGAGGGCATTTTAATCTACATGTTATTGCCTCCTACTGGCCAAATACCTGAACAGCCGTAGGCAGTTCCCCCAATCTGACAATGGATTCTGCATACCAAGCCTTACCTTTGATGTATATTTACTTTGCCTTAGGACAATTTGTGTTAATAAAAAGCAAGGGGTCCAGAGAGACAGCAGGACTTGGTTTCATTAGCTAAGTCTTCTCTGGCCCCCTGAAATGCCTTCCAAAATTATGTTTCATCTCTAGACTCTTTAATAATTTACACGCAGTCCTCCAGATTCCTGAACCCTTCTAGATGCCGAGAAACACACAAAGGCATTATGTAATGAGGGAGATACAATATTATATGAACACCTTTAAAGAATCTCCCTCTCTCTCTCCTCTCCCCACTCCCTTCCACTCTCTAAAATTCAATGAAAAAAATATCCTCACTCCTTGGGTGAGGATTAAAAATAATAATAAAATAAAACTCTTAAAATGCCCTGAATGACAAAAGTACCCTTTGTTATTCATAACAAGCCCCTTCCATCACATCTAAAATAATGCTGAGGAGGTAACTGGGGTTGGGGCCTTTCAATAGCCTCAGGATGGGACTGGTCATCAGAGAGATCAGTGATTAAATTTTGAAAGTTTCAGTTCCACCCACTAACCTTTTGGAAAGTGAGGAGTGAGGTCTGGGATTGAACTATAAAAACACTTAATGAGATTCAGAGAGCTTTCTAGGTTGGTGAATACATTGAAATGTTGGGATGTAGCACCCTGAGACCAACACCTACATCTCCAGCTGTGGACACTGCCAGTGACAGCGGCTTCTCACCAGATGCTTGCTCTGCTCCCTCCTATCACATAAGCTCCCCCTCTCTGTGTAACCTGTGTGTGACTCTATTAGCTTATTGGGGAGATTTCCTCTAATGAACCTGGCATTGTGGAAAAATATAAACATTTGTGAGTGGCTCTTTTTGGGGATGCTCTCTTGCTCATGACATATATAGTTTATTAATGTCTACAATTTTATTTATTTTTGTGTTTAGTCTCTCTGTTTTTATCCTGCTTCTTCTTTTCTGTCTTCTTTTGAATTACATGAGTATTTTTTATTTAATTTTTTTAGTATTCCATTTAATTATGTGATCTGCTTTAATTATATCTCTTTGTCTTGAAGAATGATGTCAAATATAATTTGGTATCTTCCATATATACTACATTATTATTTTTAATATGTATATCATCATATATTTGTCCCTTCTTAGTTGACAACTTTGTTCCTTTTTTGTGGTTATCTTGATTAACTTATTCCTAGGATTGTTAAATTGAGGCCACATATGAGGAGAACTGAATGCCACATTGAGAAGTTTAGATTTATTATTGATATTCAATAAAATATTAAGATGCTACCTTCAATGTAAATGTAAAACTTTGGAGAGTTAGGATAGGATAAAATGGGTGGGTGACTTACACAGGATTAAATGTCACTGTTACAGTGTTTTAATTCTTACTCCAATGTTTCAATTGCCCATTCTAATTCTCTATCAAACTATTACTTGAGGAGGCTATCTCTATGCCAATTGTTGGACATTATGGGCTGCAATGTCTCTCATTCTGAGAAAATGTGAGTTGGCAGTCCAAATTGGTACAGTATCTCCTGTTCTGTTTCTTTTATAGTATTCTGAGCATTTGCATCTACCACCAGGTAATCAAAGCCCAGTCCAGAGTCAGTATCTATTCCTGTCAAAACCCAGTTGTAATCCTCTGGGTCTAAATAATTAATAGGTCAAAGATGAAATTACAAAGTAAATTAGAAAATACCTTGTACAAAATGATAATGAAAACAATGTATTAAAGGCTGTGGAACATAGATTAAACAGTGCTTAAAGGGCAAATTATAGTTTTAAATGCTAATATTTGAAAGATATTAATTTATTGAAAAATAAATTAAACCAATGCCCTATGGTTCAACTTTAATATCATTAGAAAACCAAGTAAAGTAAACTTAAAATTAGTGGAAGGAAGGAAATAATATAAGAGCAGAAAACAATCCTATATAATAATGAAGGAATACGCAAATTGACTGTCTCTCAGCCACAAAGATGGCGGCGCCCACAGTGGAGGCAGGGAGTTTCCATAACACAAGATGGCTGCACCCACAGCGGAGGCTGAGTTCCCATAACGATCTTTAACTAGCAATCAGCAGGGACCTGAGGCTGCATGCGCGCCCCCCCCCCCCATGGGGCTTGACAGGGGACCTCAGGCTGTGCCCCACACCCTGGCGCCAGGCCGATGGACCTCAGGCCATGCCCCCTGCCCTGGCACCAGGCCAGAGGACCTGAAGCCATGCCCCCCACCCAGCAGGGCTTGACGGGGGATCTCAAGGTGCATTCCCCCGCCCCAGTGCTGAGCTGGGGGACCTCAGGCTGTGCCCCCTGCCCAGTGGGGTTTGACGGGGGACCTGAGGCTGCAGCCCCCTCCTGGTGGGGCTTGACAGGGGACCTGAGGCTGCGCCCCCTGCCCGCGGGGCTTAATGGAGGACCTCAAAGCATGCCCCCCACCTGGCGGGGCTTGACAGGGGACCTCAGGCCATGCCCCTGCCCAGTGGGGCTTGATAGGGGATCTCAGGCCACATCCCCCACCCAGCAGGACTTGATAGGGGACCTCAAGGTGCACCCCCCACCCTGGCCTGGGCTGAAGGACCTCAGGCAGCGCTCCCCGCCCCAGCGCCAGGCCAGGGGACCTGAGGCTTCACCTCCCGACCTGGTGGGGCTTAACAAGGGTGGGACCGGCCAGGTCTGGATCTAGCCCAATGGGGGGACCGGACAGGTCTGGGTCTTGCGCGATTTTGAGGTGCACATGGGTGGGCAGGGACTTGACTCTGGGACCCATGGTGCGCCCCAGACTCTGACAGGAGGAAAATTTTCATATACATTTTAAAAATTTCCTTTCATCTCTGACATTTCTATTATAGAGAAAAGAAAAATAGCAATATTAAAATATATCCTCTAATTCAGTGGTTCTCAACCTTCCTAATGCCGCGACCCTTTAATACAGTTCCTCATGTTGTGGTGACCCCCAATTTCATTGTTACAAATTGAACATAATTAAAGCATAGTGATTAATCACTAAAACAATATGTAATTATATATGTGTTTTCCGATGGTCTTAAGCGACCCCTGTGAAAGGGTCGTTCGACCCCCAAAGGGGTCGCAACCCACAGGTTGAGAACTGCTGCTCCTATTAATCCCCTTTTAATGTGCACGAATTTTGTGCACTGGGCCACTAGTAAAATATAAAACAAATAATATATAAAATTGGCATAGCTAAAAGTTGGTTATTTCAAAAGATTAACAAAATTGACACACCCATGCTAGACTAATCAAGGATAATATGAGAATAATATTAACAATCTTGATAACTGTGACAAAATAGACACTTTTTTAAAATGCAATTAACCAAAATAACATCTCATTTTGTTTTTTTTCTTTAAATAAACTGAACTGATCAAAAACCTTCCCCAAAAGAAAACTGCTATCAAGCATTCAAAGTTTAAGGAAGAAATAATGCCAGCCCTAAACCTTTTCAGAAAATAGAAGAGGGAGGACTTCTCAGCTCTTTTCATGAGCTAACATAAGCCTAATACCAAACCTTACAAAGAAATTTCAAAAAAATAACATTTTTAACCAATATCTCTCCGAAATATAAACCAAAAAATCTCTAAAAAATATTATCAAATAGATAATATGTAGACAGGATAATGAATCAGGAACAAGTAAGGTTTAATCATAAGAATTCAAGATTGGTTTAACATATAAAAACTAATCACTGTAATTCATCAAATTCAGAGACTAAAACTCATTATCATTTCATTAAATGCATATAAAATCCTATATAATAAAAGCCTAATATGCAAATTGTCCCCTCAACTGGGAGTTCAACTGGGAGTTCAACCAGGGGCGGGGCTGGCCCATCAACCACCCGCAGCCCCTCCCCATAGCTGGCCCCATCCCCGATAGGCCCCCCCACCCCGATTGGGGGTGGGACTAGCCAGCCAACCTCCGCGTCCCCTCCCCCAGCCAGCCCAGCCCAATCAGCTCCAATTAGAGTGGGCCAGCCAGACCCCACCCATGCACAAATTCATGCACAAATTTGTGCACCAGGCCTCTAGTATTATATAAAATTTACAACCCATTCATGGTAAAATCTCTCATCAAAATAAGAACAGTAGGTACCTTCTTCAAATTGATGAAGGTCATCTATGAAAAAGTTACAGAAAATATATTTATTGGTGAAAAACAGTCTTATCTTCTACAGTGTGATAAAATTATAGAGAATACATATAAGTGTTTATAAACCAAAATTTTCAAAGCAGTCTGATGTATCCAAAGATTCACCTTGATTAGGAATATTATGTGAACTTGGATCCAGATATAATTCTACATTTACTTACCAAATATCAACAATGAATCACAGACATTTTTATTAATACAATTTTATGATGATTGTTAGCTTGATACCAATTCGCATTTTCTTTCTGTTTGATCATAAATCTGTCTTTTGAGTTTTATAGCCCTATATTACAGACAAATGGCAGACTTACATTATCAAATAATCTCCAAGTGTGTCCCCCAGGAAGTCACTCACAGATATATAAGGCTACGAACACAAGCAGATCATTTTAAATGGTCATTAGTGACCTTCTCTGAGGAGGAGTTAAAACTGCTCGTTTATATATAGAGTAATAGACACACACAAATATGAAATAACTATAGGTACAAATATATGCGTGTGAACAACTTATGCAGGCAAAATCAGACATAAGAAAGAAGCTCTACAAATAAACAGAACCCAGAAATATTGTATAATTCCTCATTCTAATCCTTTAAAATAAGTAAAAGTGTTTACCATTTTTCAGACAAAAGAGATAAAGAATACTGAATGACACTCATTTCTCTCCTTTTTACACTGGGGTTTTGCAGCCACCAACCCATAGCATTTCTTAAAAGAAACACTTCCCGTTATCTGCAAGTCTGCTACTTTACCTCACCTTTTGACATTTTATGGACTTTGAGGTACAAACAGTAGTGCCATAGCTGGGATGCCATATTCAAGCGTTCAATCTTTAAACTGAAAGAAAGATGACCACATAGGTCTTTCAGACCTCATCTGTAGACCAGCTCTGTCACCTGAAACAGATCTTTCAGACTTCTTGGAAGACAATCACCAGGTCCTATCAGTTTCTAAATGGCAGATGGTAATAACATATAAGTAGAGTCCTATTCTTAAAATATAAAGATTCCCTAAAGACTGGCTTCATAGCTCTGGAAGAGGAAGGTTAGGAAGGGTTATAAGATCCTAAACATGCTCCTGTTATGACATTCATTGATTGAGGGTTGCTTTCTGCTCCATTGGTTCCTTGGGCAAGTGATCACATCTAAGTAAAACTGCAAAAACTGGAAAGCATATAATTCAATTGTTTAAAACATTATTCTCATACAAATAGGTAGTGAGCATGTGTTAATTTTTATTCAGTTCATTATTGAGGGAACCAGAAAAATAACAGAATTAGCTCCAAAAGAATTTGAGAAACTTGAACTTACAGAATTCTTGGGGACAGAGATGTTGGAATACATTTTCTGGGCTACAAACAAAACTGATTACAATCCTATTAGAGAATAAAAGCATAACCTCTGATATTATAGTCTCCATCAGACAGAAAAACCCATCAATGTTCTACAGTTTAAGGTACTGTGGAATATATGGGCCTACTGATCAGATAAAGGTACATTTCCTGAGAGTCAGGGACTTTCAATGAGTCAATAGGAAATGCTCAAACATGGTTTTAAAGCATCATATAATGATATTTTCGCTTTGTTTTTTAAGTTTTTGGATTTTTTTCCCTGAAATCTCAGAACAACTGATTTCTATAGAATGGTATGGGAAGGATGTAGGCAGCTTTCAAATGCATTGTAACACAATATCCCCAAGTTGAAAACATTGAATTATGAGTAGTGTTGAAATATTTACTGTTACTTTTTGATGGGATTTACAGGTATACTTCTAATTACATCACACTCATCTGCATTCTAATATCCATTCTTGTGTGGAAGAGAGTACTTGAATCAAAATCTCTGAGAGGAAAAGTGTGCTTTGATAGTTTTTAATAGATCCCTAAGTGATTATAATGTGTAGTCAGGATTATGAACTGCTGTAGAATGAAACATTACCCATTCTGGCATAATGGTGGTCCCTGACTCCATTCACACTGAAGCAAGACTGATTGTAAAAATGTCCCACCCAATACACAGTGTTCCTAGATAGCTTATCTCTTACATATCTATTGCCTTATTCTTAAATATGAACTTGCAATCAAAGTATTTGAGAAAACCCTTCAAATTTTCAGATAAAGACAAAAATAAATGAACAGAAGGGAAATTACCCCAGACAATGGAAAATTTCTGGCAGAGGAATTTTAAAATAATTGAATTAGACACTCAGTATACTAGGTAACACTTTGAGAGAGAGAGAGAGAGAGAGAGAGAGAGAGAACTAACACTACAGGAATCTTTATCTCCTGTGTCCCACCATATAAATTTTTTTCTTTATGTGAAATTAATAAATTTACGGCTAATGTTCCTAAGCTGATTATGGCCAAAGGAAAATACACCACCTGTTGCTCATTTTAAAAAACATGACCACCAAATTCATGTAGGTCCTTAATATGCCTGGAAGCATGCTCTATTTCTCTCAGTATCAAGTCCCCAATGCCTCTTCCCTCATCCTCACTCTCATCTAATAACCTTGCTGCCTTTTTCACTGAGAAGATTTAAAGAATCAGAAAGGAGTTTCCTCAGATACCTACTACATCTCCCAACCTCTCAGCCTGTGTACGTATCCATGTTCTCTACCTTCTTGCCTGATGAACTTTTCAAGTTCCTGTCCAGTGGAGTATTCACCCAATTCCTGTTTACCAAATCAAGGACAAATCTCAAGGAAGCAATTCTCCTCTTTTCTCTCTCTCATTCATTTTCATTTGCTAGGGAAGCATTCTAATTCAGGAAACATGTTGCTATTTAATCATTAAGCATGTACACACACACGTACACACCTTCCCTTGACCCCACAGCCCCCTTAAGCTACTGCTTCAATTTTAAAGTAAAACTCTGAGAGACCTGTCAACCCTTTCGCTCCACTTCTCCTCCCATTCTTTCTTGAATTTTCTTCACTCAAGCATTTGTTACCATCACTACATTGAAACACTGCCTGTCAAGGTCAATAGCTGGTACCACATTGCTAAATTGAATGATCCATTCTCTGTTTTCATTTTATTTGACCGATCAGCAGCATTTGACACAATTATCCCTTCCTCCATGAATCATTTTTTTCACCTGGTATCAGGAATACATCCTCCTACCTCATTGTTCACTTCTTATTCTTCACTAATTTCTTCACATCTGTCTTGCTAATAATGCTCGAGAGCCTCGTCGTTGCTCCTCTTCTCCATTTACCCTCACATCTTTGATGGTTTCATATAGTTTTATATATCGTCTAAAAGTTCCCATTTTTTTCTGTACCTTAGAAATGACTGAAATTTATATCTCCAGTCTGATCTCTCTCCAGAATTCCAAGCACTCATTTCTAATAATTTACTTGACTTCTCTACTGGATTTCTTTTTTTAAGCAATAATGAAACCTCAAGTTTAATATTTCTAATATATTGAACAACTTTGGGGTGACCACATATCCTAGTTTATGATTGTTGGCTGTTTTTAGTACTCCTTTCACTATCAAAAATGTTTCTGTTTGGATGAAAAATATATGGTTACTCAAAGGATATAGTTCCGTGTTTAAGTCTGCTAAATTGATTTCCCACACTTAAGGTAGTGAAGCTAATCATAACTTTCCCCTTTTTCCACTCACAAAGAAAAACAAAATTTAGTTTGTTTAATGACATTTAAGCCCAATTTTACAATCCTGATATATTTAAATAATTTTAATTATTTGATGAGTTCTATTAAATGTAAGGTTTTACTTTACTTTTCCATGGATTATTTCTTTTGATTCTGCAAGGATTTACAGTTTTCCATTGCTGTAAAAATAGTAACTAGCATTGTTCTTCAGTTGCTTTTGAGAAATTGGACTTTTAAAGAATTTATGTCAGAAAATTATATTTAAGATTCATGACACTACCTGCTACTGAGTCTACAGATGTATTAGAATGAATGGTTCTTAGTTTTATCCAGTTTTATTGAAATATAATAGACATATAGCATTGTGTAAGCTTAACATGGACAATGTGATGATTTGATAACATATCCATTACTTCACAAAATAGGTGGTCACCCCAAAGTTGTTCAACATATTAGAAGTATTAAACTTGAGGTTTAATTATTATTTTTGTGGTGATGGTGGTGGTGAGAAGATTTGTCTACTCTCTTAGCCATGTCTGGTGTGGCTCAACTAGTTGGAACATTGTCCCATACATGGAAAGGTGGTGGGTATGATTCCTGGTCAGGGCACGTTTGGGAGGCAGCCGATCAATGTTTCTCTTTCACATCAATGTCTCTCTCTCTCTCTCTCTCTCTCTCTAATCACCTTGCTATACGTTAGATCCCCAGAACTTATTTCTCTTACAACTAGAAGTTTTTACCCTTTGACCAGCATCTAATTTCCCCCATTCTCCAGCCACTTCCAATCACCAGTCTCCTCTCTATTTTCTATGGATTTAGCTTATTTAGACTCCACATGATCTAATTTATAGATCATGCAGTATTTGTTTTTCTCTCTTGGCTTATTTTACATAGCAAAATAAATAGCCTCAAGTTTAATCCATGTTGTCACAAATGGCGGGATTTACTTCATTTTAAGGCTGAATAAACTTAGGTTATTATCATGTTTTGGCTATTTTGAATAATGTTGCAATGAACATGTGAGTGTGTCATCTGTATACTTACATGGAAATATGATAATAATGTATTTTTAGCTAAAAAAAATAATGGTAGCTTTGGTCGGTGTGACTCAGTTAGTTGTAGCATTGTCTCATGCACTAAAAGGTCATGGGTTCGATTCCCAATCAGGGCACATACCTAGGTTGCAGGATTCTAACCCCGTGTCAGGGTGTGTACAGGAGGAAACCAATAGATGTTTCTATCTTCCTCCCTCTTTACAATCAATTACAAAAATTTTTTTAAACAGTGGTAGAACAATATGTGAATTATGAATTTGTCTTAAGTTGTACATGCATATTTGTTTTGCATATAATATTATGTTGCTTGTAGATTTGTTTTTATGATTGTGTGAGATAGCAAGGCTCTTTTTATGGATGTAATTTGGGATTAGATTGCATTTTGTGCCCTTGGTGATCAGCCCTTGGAACTATCATTTTTCTAGAAAGAGGACTTATCAAGTTTTATTTATTTGAAATTTATACCCCACATATTTTGTGATAAAGAACTTGCAGAAGCTTATAATCAAAACATTTAAAGCAACTAAATAATTTTTTAAAAATAAAAAGAGTAGCCGAAACCGGTTTGGCTCAGTGGATAGAGCGTCAGCCTGGGGACTGAAAGGTCCCGGGTTCGATTCCGGTCAAGGGCATGTACCTGGGTTGTGGGCACATCCCCAGTAGGAGATGTGCAGGAGGCAGCTAATCGATGTTTCTCTCTCATCGATATTTCTAACTCTCTATCTCTCTCCCTTCCTCTCTGTAAAAAATCAATAAAATATATTTTTAAAAAATAAAATAAAATAAAAAGAGTAAAGAAGAAAGGACCAAATAATATAGGGGTAAGAGATATAAAGTTGCTCTTATTTTTACTCTTGATTATTCAATTTATATCTATGCTTTATGAAAGCCTAGGCAAAATGGAAAATACATTTTAAAAATATGAACAAAATTGTCTGGAGAGCTTGTCTATCCCAGTGGAATTGAGAGCTTCAATTGTAACAATAGAAGGAAAAATGCTTTACACAATGGAAAGTACCATGTAAATGTAAGGGATTAATTTGACTGAGCCTGTAAATTTTTAACTCAGCTTTCTTTGGGAAACTACTAAATGGGCCTTTCTTTGGCTATGAATTACCATTTATGAACTTAATACAGTAGAAAAAAACCTTTCTAGAGTCCCTTGGGCTCATTCTTTTAGCTATTTACCATACTGCCTTTGCAGACGTGCTCTTTCAATCAGTAACTATATGTCCAATTATATCAGGGACTAATTAAATAAAAAGTTCTTGAAAAAGACATCAGTAATTTGCATAGCCATTTAAATGAATCTAATTTATGAATGAAGCTTGTCAAGTTTAAAATTTAGTGATTATCCTCCAATCATTGTTCTTGACACTTAAAATTCTTATACCATATACTTAATATCACAATATTCTTGTGGCTTCACTTGTGGTTGGTATGCTTAGATAAGTTGGAATCACTCAAGACTATGAATTATAAAACCTATATATAAAAGCCTACTATGCAAATTGTCCCTGTGGGAGTTCGACCAGGAGACCAATCGCTTGCTATGACATGCACTGACCACCAGGGGGTGGCGTGGAATGAAGGAAGGCCCCGGCCAGCAGCCGGCAGCAGGAAGGCCCCAATCGGCCGTGATCGCCAGCCAGGCCTAGGGACCCTACCCATACATGAATTTCGTGCACCGGGCCTGTAGTTTAATTAATAAAAGAGGCAAGGCAGTTAGATCTTCACTTGATTATTAGTCATTTTCTTCTTTCAATATGAAGCTCCCAAGAGGTATTCTGCAGTTCTGGAAGAATCATTTTAAATAATTACTGAAGAGTTAAGAGCTTTTCTTTAAACTGTGTACAAACTCATTAGAAAAGTTTGCCTGACTAGAATAGTTTCTTGAGAAAGCCTGGCAGTTTAGATTCCTTTTTCTCTCATTAACCAAGGACATTCATAATCTGTGACTCAGTTTTCTGCTATGTAAAATTGAGACAATAATAGTACCTACCTTTAAAGTCCTTGTGAGGATTAAATGAGGCAATACCTATAATGGTCTTAAAATGGTGCCTGGCCACTTGTATTCATTATATGTTAGCTAGTAGTGATAGTAAGTATCACATAGGTCAAAACACCATAGGTCAGGCATGCTCCAGAAACCTTCACTCTCTCAGGACAGGTGGCTAGAAAATGCTTTATAATCAGCGTTGTGTCAGAACAGTTTCTACAAAAGAAGTTCGCCAAAGAAACTGATTCCTAGGATTGTTTTGCAGAAAAGAAAGAGGGAGGAGAGGGGAGAAGGGAGAGGGGAGAGGGAGAGAGGGAGGGAGGGAGGGAGAGAGAGAGAGAGAGAGAAAAGAAGGGAGGGAGGGAAAAGAAAGAAAAGAGTTAGAGAGGTTTCCTAGAGACAGCCAGAGGTGAAATAAAAATCATTCAATCCACAAGGAAGACATAGGATTAAAATGAGAGACAAAGATATAGGTTAAAAGCCAGGCAGAGGTAGAGTGGAATAGAGGCAAATATGAGAATTATAGGAATGTCCTCACTATTACCTAAGACTTCAGTGATGGTGAACCTTTTGAGCTCGGCGTGTCAGCATTTTGAAAATCCCTAACTTAACTCTGGTGCCGTGTCACATATAGAAATTTTTTGATATTTGAAACCATAGTAAAACAAAGATTTATATTTTTGATATTTATTTTATATATTTAAATGCCATTTAACAAAGAAAAATCAACCAAAAAAATGAGTTCGCATGTCACCTCTGACACGCGTGTCATAGGTTCGCCATCACTGGCCTAAGTGTTCATCTTTCCTCTATTATCACTTGGTACACCCAGAGACTGGGTGAGTTAGGTTGGCTTAAACATATAGGGACAAGTCTATTTCTTCTGATGGATGTGTTCCACACATCTCTTTAATGGAAAAACAAAATGGCACCTCAGAGTGTGAGGAAGTTTAAGGCAAAGGATGTTTATTTAAGGCTCAGAAAATCTTAGCATGCATATAGCCAAAGGAAAAGCAGCCACTGGCCAGAGACTGAAAATGCCAGAAAAAGGAGGGATTACAGATTGAGTAAATTTCTACAAGAGGCAGGAATGAAGATATTCCTGGTTAAAGATGGAGAGAGACTAGTCTTAGAATGGAAGAGTAACTGCTCTTGCTTTGAGATAGTCGGGAAGAATATTAAAAATGAGTGAACATATAGAGAGGTTGTGAATTAAAGTGAGAAGATGAAAGTGCTTACTCTGGATAGCGTCCATCTAAGTCAAGTAAGCAGCAATGTCAGCTCCTTCTAGTGGCCTGGCAGGAGAGTGGAGAGATTTTGGACAACAGCTGTAGGGAATGTGATATGAAGTCAACATGAGATAAGAAAAAGGATGAGGGATTGCTGAGCATCAGGAAAGACTTAGTTGAAATTAAATCACAAGTCAAGTGTGGATGTAGTCAAGCTTCCAATTGAATTAATGTATTTCTCCAACCCAATATTTTGCAGTGGTTTGCACTTACTTGCAGTTTTTCATCTGGCTTATATAGAAATAAAAGCTGAGTAAATCTCTGTAGGAGTTTAAACTCCCAAGCAGAGGATAAAGAAAAATTGAGAGTAAAAAGTGAGAATCCATAGGGGGGAAAAAGTTAAGAGAGGAATTAAAAATCTTAATGACTTTTTTTTTGGCTTTCACTGATTATTTTATATTGTGCTACTTTGGAAATTTAATTGGACTACTTAAAAAGAATTGCAAAAGGAATTAGCTTCTAAGATAGTTTACATGCCTGATGTATAACTTTTCTTTTTAAAAGGCAAATGATTAAGATTGGCCATCTGGTTAAACTTATTTTTTATCAATTAAAGTAAGAGTTAGTATGTAGAATAATTGAGCCAGCCTTAACTATAAGTGGAGAATGATATATGAGTAAATAGCTGTGAATAGAATTTAAATGGTGGAATTATTTAAACTTAAAAAATACTTTGAAAATATATCAAACAAGTGGTAGTGAACTCTTTCAACATTACATAGAAGACAACAATATTTCCCAAATGTTTTATTGGTTCAGTGCCCAGCTCTAGTCTAATGGCTGCAGGTTATACAAAGGTATTGTAAGAGCTGGAACCCAGTGTTATGAGTTCACAGTATAATTAGGAAGACAAAATCAATGTGTTTGAAATAGATCATAACCAACTGATATGTGGCCTGTGTTATTACCAATAAATACAGTAACTATTAAAAGAATGCCTTAAATATTAATAATACCTAAGAGTTAACATACCTCTTTTATATAATTACCTCATTTGTTCTTCACAACAATCCTTAGAGATAGTAATCTAGTTACCATTGCTAAGTAATACCCTAACTCACAACTTAGTGGTATAAAACAATCATTTTATTATGTTCAAGGATTCCATTATGCCAAGGAATTTGGACAGGACTTGACTGGGCATTCCTCATGCTTCCTGGGATGCTCCATGGGACTTCAGTATTCTATGGTTTGGATGTCCAAGATGGCTCACTCATAGGACTGGCAATTTGATATTGGCTATTGGATGAAATCTCAGCTGGGGGTCTGTCAAATTAGACAGACTACACATGGCTTCTCCATATGGCTTGCCTTCTTCACAGCATGGTAGCCTCATGGTAGTTAAAATTCTAACATGGCAGCTCAGGGGTCAGGTTCAAATAAACCAACAGAAAAGGGGGAAGCTACATGACTTTTTATGACCTAACCTTGGATATTACACAGCATCCCTTCTGCTAAACTCTGTTAAAGTAGTCACAAGCCCTTCCAGATTCAAAGAGAGAGATAGACCCTGTCTTTAATGAGAAGAGTGTCTAAAGATTTGTCACTTTTTTTTTAATAGCCACAGGTAGTTATCACTACTTCCACTCACAGATGAGAAAATTGATGCTCAGAAAGATTCAGGAACTTGCCTAGTATCATGCAGTAGTAAATGGCAAAGTCAGACTTGAAGCCAGGTCCTTTGAAACAAAGTCTAGTACTCTTGCCATTATACTATTCTTTTTTAAAAAATATATTTTTATTGATTTCAGAGAGGAAGGGAGAGGGAGAGAGAAACATCAATGATTAGAGAGAATCATTGATCAGCTGCCTCCTGTACGCCCCCTACTGGGGATCCATTCCACAACCCAGGCATGTGCTCTTGACCAGAATTGAACCCTGGACCCTTCAGTCCACAGACTAACTCTATCCACTGAGCCAAACCAGCTAGGGCATCCATTATACTATTCTTTATTCCCAGAAGTCAGTGTTAGCAATAGCAATTTAAAAAAAACAACAACACAACTTTCTGGGGTAAATGGGACTTTGAATGTAACATTAATAGATTGCAGAGAAAATTCAAACAATAAGCACCTAATATAAGTTGTCACATTCGTTGTAAACCTACTCTTTCCATTGTATTTAGATGCCAAAGGCATAAACTAGGTGTCCTTACCTCTTTTCTATATTTCCCACATCATGTTAACCCAAGTTTTGCTGATTTCAGCCTCTGAAGAGTTCTAAAATATGCCCTTGTCTCTCTATCTCTTCCCTAGTGTAGAGGCAATAATACCTTTCATTTAGACCACAGTTTGGC